GGTCCATGTCACTCTTTGACATGATATGCAGGTATCATGAGAGATTTAAGTTTGCCAGTTCTGGGTCAAAAAGTCCAGGCAGTAATTTGATCATATCTCTATGATTCATGTATCAGACACATCAGTGTGGCACCTGAGAATCACTACTCACCTCTCTCCCCAACTCTAGGCTACCTGCTCCACCTCAGCTGCCCCTGCAGTACACTTGCCACCCCAAACCAACCACCTGGAGTCTCTGGCTCCTCCAGACACTTTTGGACTCACTGGAAAAAAGCACCATGCTTCCCAAGTAGCTGCCCAAAAAGGCTAGGTGGTGCAACCCAGAAGGGCAGGCTAGCTCACTCCCCATGGGGAAACAGCACAGTGGAAGACTAGAGGTGGAAAAGAACCGGTAAATAAACAATCTCTCCCTTCCTCCTTCAGATTAACTATCTCAAGGTGTGGTTTCTCTGTATGGCCTGTCCAGAGACATGTGGTCTTGGAGGTGTACCTGCCAAGAAACTGGCTTTATGTTTTCAAGGCTGTTATGAAGCAGGAGCCAGCATAGCAATGCATTAGTTTGTCTTGCTTCTCAACCTTCCCTGCCTCATTTCTCTCTCCCCTTTCCCTCTCCCCTTTCTCTTTCTCTCTCTCTCTCTCTCTCTCTCTTCGTTGTACTTCCCAAATAAAGCATTAACATTTATTTCTTGCCTCAGACTCTGTTTTCTAGGGAGCCCATGATGAGATAATTATTTGCTCAACATAATGAAATTGCCCTGCAGCCTACCATTTCCTGTATGCATTTCTTGAGCTTTCTCCAACCTTGGCTTTTGGGCATGTCCTCTTAGATTTTGCTTTTAGGATCACAGGTCACAACTCATCTCCCATTTTAAACCCAGATTTAATGCCTCTTTCTTAATGAAGTAACTACTGATGGCTCTTTCTGAAGAAAATATCTAATTTGTGACATTTATCTTTCTCTGTGTTATGGCTCTTTATGTTCTGCGCCTTCATTCAGGCCCTCATCTTTCTTATTAGAATCACTTCAGGGGTTTCGTATACTGCTTTTTCACCTTTGGCCCCGTCATCTTGTTTCCCAGTTGAGCCTCTGCATGTGCCATTCCCTCTGCTAGAAATCTTTCCTATTCTGTTTTGCCTCCAGCCAACCTCTATTTCATCTTCTCAGACCCTTCAAAGGAGTTCAAGCACGGCCTCTTGTAAGAAACCTTCGCAGACTCACCCTCAGACTAGATTACTGCTATAGACTGAATGTTTGTGTGTCTTCCAAATTCATACGTTAAAATCTAATCCCTAGTGGGGTGGTATGTGGAGATGGGTCTTTGGGATCATGAGAGCCTAATGGGATTAGAGAGCTCTCTTGCCCCTTCTATGAAGACACAGCAGGAAGCTGGTTTTGCACCAAATCTGTTGACATCTTGATTTTGGATTTCATGAATTGTGAGAAATAAACTTCCATGATATAAGCCATCCAGTCTATGGTATTTTGGTTACAACAACCTGAACGAACTAAGACAGTTACCCAGCCCTTTTTGGGGTCCACACAGTATTCTGTTCACCTCTCCATTCTAGCTCTAATGAGAGGGTAATTGAAGGTTTACTTATTTGTCTTCTTCAGATTTTGAGTTCCCTGGGGAAGAGTAGATACCATTTCTCTAATACAGTGCCTGGCACGCAATAGTTCACTAAAGGTTTATGTAACAAATGAAAAAAAAAAAAAAATAGATGACTTATTTCCTCTGCTCAACTGACAATTCCTTACAGTAAAGGGGATGTACTTGATCCATCTTTTCTTTCTAGGGCTAAGGGCGGGACCTGGGTACAAGGTGGATACTGAATAGCATATTGAAAGAATGAATAATAGCATATTGAAAGAATGAATAATTCTTTCAATATGAAAGAAAATTTGTCATTAAAATCACTTGGAGAACGCTGGCTCAGATGCAGCTCTGATGAGGCTGAACAGTCCCATAAGCAGGGGTCAGCCATGGTACACATTGCCTTGTTTCACTTCCTTTTACAAAGTGTGTTAAATTGTAATGGAAAGCTATTGTTCCCTATATTCCTACCTACCCACTCACAAACCCAACTGACAAAGCAGAGTAACTTGCTGGGGTAAATGGGGAGAGACTGCTATATGTGCCCTGTGGCCTCTGCTCAAACATTGCCTCCTCATGCAATCTTCCCCCACTCCATCCCATTCACTTATTTTATTTTCTTCATATCACGATTGCAATTTTTTTCCCCTAAGAGTTGTTTAAAAATAACAAGTAATCTTAAAAATATCTTTAAAATATATGTATGGCATAGAAAACGAAGCAGTGAATATCCTCATACTCCCTTCCCTGTAGCCCATGTGACTCTCCCAATTCTGTGCCCTCCCTTCCACCTTACAGGGAATCACTATCCAAAGTTTGTGCATATGGTTCCTTTTTCATTACAGTTTTACCCTTTGTGTTTGTTATGAGGTAAGACTATATTATTTGCATTCCTAAATAATATCTTCTATACTTTAGCATATTTTAAAACTTTAAACAAACGGACTCATTCTCTATTTTTAAAAAGATTAACTGTGTTGTTCTGTGTAGTTGTGATTCTTTCATTTCCCCTTCTGTAAAATATTCCTCCATGTGCACATACTCTCACTTAAGAAAAATTCACTCTTCTGTTTACAGACAGGTTACTTCTGCTTCCTGTTATTAAGAACAGTGCTGCTATACACCAAAAACATTTACTAATTATGAAAGGAAAAAATGAGGTGGAGAAAATGGACACAACCTTAACAAAGTAATCAAAATTAACATCACTGAGAAGGGGCAAACATCATGTCCCTCACACACAACATCAGAGAAGGATGCCGTATTGCTTCTCTGGTATTCTAGTCATAAGACCTTAATCTGAATCTAATTATGAGGAAACATCAGAGAAACTCCAAGGTTTCATGAGAGACCTCTTATAACAGTTCCGTATTCTTTTTTTTTTTTTTTGATAGACTATTTTAAAGAGCAGCTTTAGATTTGCAGCAAAATTGAGCAGAAGGTATAGAGATTTCCCATATACCCCAACCCTTATGCACAGCCTCTCCCACTATCAGAATCCCACAGCAGCGTGGTACATCTGTTACAACTGATCAACCTACACTGACACATCATAATCACCAAAAGTCCATAGTTTACAATAGGGTTCATTCTTGGTGTTGTACATTCTATTGGTTTTGAAAAATGTATAATAACGTTTATCCACAGCTATAGTATCATACAGAATAGTTTCACTGCCCTAAAAATCCTCTGTGCTGTGTTTATTCATCCCTCTCTCCCCTCAATACCTGGTAACTACTGATCATTTTACTATCTTCATATGCCTTTTCCATATATGCCTTTTCCAGAATGCCATGTAGTTGGAATCATCTAGCATGTAGCCTTTTCAGATTGGCTTTTCTCACTTAGTAATATACACTCAAGACATGACTCCATGTCTTTTCAAGGTGACTCTATGTCTTTTCATGGCTGGATAGCTCACTTTTATTATTATTTTTTTTTAGCACTGAATAATATTCTGTTGCCTGAATATATCACAGTTTATTTATCCATTCACCTACTGAAGCACATCTTGGTTGCTTTCAAGTTTCGGAGATTATGAATAAAACTAGCTATAAACATTTTGTGTGTAGGTTTTTGTGTGAACATAAGTTTTCAACTCATTTCAGTAAATACTAAAAAGTGTTTTTTAGAGATTGCTGGATTATATAGTACGTGTATGGTTAGTTTAGCAAAAAATGGCCAAACTATCTTCCAAAGTGTATTATTTTGCATTCCTACCCGCAATGAATAAGAGTTCCCTTTTACTCCACATCCTTGCCAGCATTTGATGTTGTCAGTGTTTTGGATACTGGCCATTCTACTAGGTGTGTAGTGATATCTCAATGTTGTTTTGGCTCGTATTCTTTAAAAACATCAGTGACATGACAGGAAAAGCTGAATAGGTCCAGACTAAAAGACACTAGATAGAGGTGACAACTAGATGCAATATATGATCCCGGACTACATCCTGTCCAGGGAAAAAGTGCTATAAAAGACATTATTTATACAGTCGACAAAACTGGAATAGAAATAGATTAAAGCCTCCTGCCATTGTTGAATTTGATCATTGTATGTAGTTTCATTCTTAGGACATAATACTGAAAGATTAAGGGGGAAGTAGGCCTGATGAATGCAACCTACTCTCAAATGATTCAGAAAAAACCATATAGATAATATAGATAGAAAAAGGAAATGTGGCACGATAGCAATTTGTGAATCTTGATGAAAGGGCATAACGAGTTCTTTGTAGTATCCTTACAACTTTTCTGTAAGTTACTTCAAAATAGTTTACAGAATTTTTTTAAAGTGCTGCTTATAACATTCCACTCCTATCTTTTAATGCACACGTACAAGTTTCTGGAGTCTATTCTGAAGAGTGGAATCGCAGGGTTGTAAGGTGCTGCATCTTCAACTTGGCTAGCTAAATAGTCTACAAAGTGCCATCCTTATTTTATTTTTATTTTACTGACATCCTTATTTTATTTTTCTCTCACTGAAAGGTAAAGTGGTTAACAGTGCTGTCAAAATCTAGGCCTTGGTCCCGAAGCATCAGCCTTACCAAGGTGCTGCACGGTTAGAAATGCAAACCCTCAGACCCCTAATCCAGACTTGGAGAATCAGAAACTCTAGGGGTACAGCCCAGGAATCTGCGTTTCCACAAATCTTCTAAGTGATTAAAAAGTTTAAGTAACGCTAATCTGTGATCCATTAGGGCAGCATCTGGCTTGCAGACAGCTGTCCCCAAACCAATAAACAGTGGAGCCCCCAGCAAAGGTTAGTGGTTAGTGCAGGGACCAGAAGGCAGCGCGCCCTTCCCAGGGAACCCGCCCGGCACCGGCAGCTACGCCAGGACCCCCCAGCTGGGTGGGGAGGGGCGGCCGGACGGGGCGGGCCACAGGCGGGCGTCCCCGCCTCCTAGGCATTCGGCCTGCCGCATCCCGCCGCCCTTCTCCTCCTTTTCCTTCTCTCTCCTTTCCTTCCTTCCTTCCGCCCAGCGCAATGGAGCCGGGGCGCGGGTCCGCGGCGGCGCTGCTGGTGCTGCTGTGCGCGGGCTGCGCGCTGCGCTCCGGGCGCGCCCAGTACGAGCGCTACAGCTTCCGTAGCTTCCCGCGGGACGAGCTGATGCCACTAGAGTCGGCCTACCGGCACGCGCTGGACCAGTACAGCGGCGAGCACTGGGCGGAGAGCGTGGGCTACCTGGAGATCAGCCTGCGGCTGCACCGCCTACTGCGCGACAGCGAGGCCTTTTGCCACCGCAACTGCAGCGCGGCGCCCCAGCCCGATCCCGCCGCCGGCCTCGCCCGCTACCCAGAGCTGCGCCTCTTCGGAGGCCTGCTGCGCCGAGCGCACTGCCTAAAGCGCTGCAAGCAGGGCCTGCCAGCCTTCCGCCAGTCGCAGCCCAGCCGCGAAGTGCTGGCGGATTTCCAGCACCGGGAGCCCTACAAGTTTCTGCAGTTCGCCTACTTCAAGGCAAGTCCGCCGGGCCCCGCCCCGGCCCCGCCCCCAGGCCCCGGCCCCGCCTCCATCCTGGGCCGCGTGCCACAGCCTTTTCTTGACCCGTCTCTCTACCACCCAGCCCTGCCAAAGGACGCCTCCAAATCCTGTCCATCCCCCTTCATCTTAAATAGAAATGAAATACTTTTCTCGAAGTGTTGTTATGAGGCAGGGAATACGTACACAGAATATCTAACGCAGTGTCTGGCACCCAAGTAAGTGCCTGGTAAATTTTCCCTGTTATTGGAAGACAGACTACTCTTTTCAGTATATGCCATTAAAGTCCCCTTTTCTCAAATGAGTGGTGATTTTCAATAATAGAGCGGAAGACGACCTAGGAGCCGGCTAGTCCCTTTTAAAGAGGAGGAAACTGAGGCTAGGAAAGGGCATAGACTCGCTGGGAGGACGCATTCCTGTCTGGAGGAACTGAGCTTGTGCGCTGTGATTCATCAGAGTTGGCGCTCTCATCTAGAATTTAACAAGGCTGTCTTCCTCCTTTTTGCGGCTACTTAGATTCTGTAAGTAGTCTAAAAATAGCCACAGATTGCAGTTCTTTATCCTTTGAGTCCTTACTCTGGGGACCCACAAGTTTTAGGAATGGGCCGAATTCCCTGTTCAGAGGCTTTACCTTGGCGGGTCTTCACCGGGTTTTGCCAACAAAGCCCTCTCAAAGCCCAGTTTCTACTTTACCTAATCGAAACGGTTTTTAAATGAACTTATTGCATTTATTTTAATGACTACAAAAAGAGGTTCATGGCGTATGCCAGATTCTGGAGGTAGAAGTTGGTTGTTGTTTATTTATTTATTTTTAAACTTGGCTTTTAGTCTTTAAGGCTGCAAGATCTGTTTTTCATATTTTCTCTGAAACAGCCACGTGTATGTCGCATTCATATGAGCAACAAAATAGCACACAACCCCCAAAAGGAGAAAAGCTGGGTTATTTCCATGCTTAGGTACAGTTTTATATAAAGTATTAGTTTTGTGAATGTTTGACCTGGCAAGAAAAAAAACAATTTTAAAATAGAACCAGAAATAAGATTAGTAAATTTCCAGGACATTGAAAAATGATGGCTGGCTCATGCAAGCACTGTTTTTTAAGCTAAAAAATGACTTGTTTAATTCTCTCTCTTTTTTTGTATAGCTTTTGGCACAGTCAGAACCAAATTTGAGTCACATAATCAAGGGGAAACATTTTCTTTTAAACCTTGAGAATAGTAAAATCTCTCATTTCTTTAATATACAGATGAATTTGAAACAAGTGGCATAGGGAGGAGGAGAAGAACATTTTATGCAATGTGACCCTAAGGCCTGGGTTTTCTCCCTCATCGAGGCATCCTCAAACATTGGGAAATTCATAGCTTCCCTTTGAAACCCTGTATAGGTCTTATAATAATTACTTACTTAAAAGTCAGTTAAATACCATTCATCTTAGTATTTTGAGATCTCTTATAGGACAGAAAAAAGTTAAGAATTTTATTTAAAAATCAGATTCTTCATTGCTTCAATTAAAAATCATTGAAAAACCAATTTTAGGTGGTGATAGTATATGGTTCATTATTTTTTCCCTTGATTGATGTTTATATTTTCAGATTGTTTCTGGGTAGAGAGAAAATAATTGGTGACAAGCACATACATTCTACCTGGCACCTAAAGGCTGGAGGTAGATACTAGAGATAGATGGCTCTGCCTGCTGTGGCAGGATTCGGGTAGATGTTCCTATGCTGGCCTGATTTGCAGGCCTCTTTCCGTAATTAAGGACAGATGCCTGAGTTGAACGCGGGGATGGAGATGGTGGGTTCAGAGAGAGGGGTGAGGAGCTGTGAGTGTGTGATCTCATAGAGAAGGGGCCACGCTCCTGGTGTGTAGCCCTCAAGCCCACCATACGTTTCATGTCATCACCCTGTCTTAGATTCATGTCACTAGCTGTGGGTTCTCTCTGTGGCTGCCACCTCCTTGAAATGCTCATCTTCCCCACAGGCTGAGGACAAAGTGAATCCCAGCACTTTAGGAAATCCTCAGTGACTTTGAACTCTGAGCAGACAGAGCCGGCCACCTCATAGGCACTCTGACCCCACCTTTACCTGGCCATGGACTATGTTCTCTCTCAACCTCAGGCCTGCCACCACATCAAGACGAATTTAAAAGTGGCTCCTTGGGCAGGTAGCTGGGGGCTTCTCATGCAGGTAGCTGTTTCTCAGGAACCCATGGCAGGGTAGGTGCTCCCAGCCACCTTCTCCAAAACCTGCCTAGAGTCTCTCAGAGATTTAGCTGCCATGATGTGGCTTCATGTTCCAGCTGGCAGAGCCTGGATTAAAGGGAATAATCACCCTTTCCTTTTCAGGAAGGGGTTCCATTTTGAAAAATTCAGGTCCTAAATAAGAGGCCTTAAAAATCCCACTCTGTGCTTCTTTTTTTAAAGTGCTCTTCTGAGAATCAGAGAATCTAATTTCATTGACAAATGCTTTAAAAGGGCTGTATTCATACCTACTCCCTTCCTTCGAGCTGCCAGACTGGACTTTTTCCTGCCAGGACTGTAAAGTTTTCCGTAGAACTCTTTCAAAGGCAGTGAGTGCCACTACAGGCCACTACCTGGTATTCCCAACACATCTGCATTGACATCTGGGAGTCTGCCCTCATCACCACCCACCACTTCTCTATTGCAGCCACCACCATTGTCTCCAAGTGACTTAGCTCCAATTCTGGGGTAATTCCATACAGAAACGTGCTACTTTTTGATTCTCAGAAATCCAAGTGTACCAAATGTCCCTTTATTTTCTTTCTTCAAACCTAATTGCCTAACCCCTGCCTCAGAGTATCTCTCCAGATTGGCAGAAGGAGTCTGTACACATGTACAGGTGCCGCCCCTGCCCCCCACCAGCTTGTGCCCTGATTCCAGGGGACGGCCAGAGCCAGAACATCAATGTGGAGCGGGGGGCCCTGTGGTTGTTGATCGTGTGTCCACACAGGGAAGTGTTCATCTCCGTGTTTGCCTGCCTTCTTGAGCTGCCCCATCCCCCAAACACACCATTCCTCCCTGAAGACTTTTGCCCTCCTGGGCTCTGCCCACAGGGCTGACACGCCTGCAGCTCCAGGGCCACAGACCTTGCTGCTCCTGCAGACCCCAAAGGGAACTTTTTTTCTAGCCTAGAGGATTCCCTTTTCTCCCTCTTCTTCCAGGCCAGTCAGCTTCTTCCTGCGGCTCCCGTCCCAATTTCCTTCTCTCATTATGCTTTCCAAGTTCTCTCAAGAGCACAGGACTTTTGTCACATGAGTAATTTCTGCTCTCTGACTAGACAGCTACCACCCATGAGGCAGTGAAACTCAGAATCAGTTGGCCACCACCTGACTGGGGAGAAAGGAAAGGGGAAAAGAGAGGAAAACATGAACTAATTTTATAAAAATATTCTGTAGCCATAATGTCATGTCCAAATCACTGATGCTTACTATTTCCTGCCTTGCCCCAGGACGTGTGCCCAAGGGCAGGAATG